GGATTCAAACCAAGGACCCTGGGGTGGCAAGGCCAAAGTGCCTACCACTAAGCCACAGTGCTTACCATTAATTTTTTTGGTTCTTGAGTTAAGATACACTTTAAATCTATGTTCTACTGAAGAGCTCCAGGCACCGATACTATCTGCCAGTTTAGATAGCATATCCCCTGCTAAGCACTGTGGTTCCTTCCACCGAAACCTTCCTCAATAAAGAGTGCTGCAGTGACCTAGGGATTGGTGATGGAAGCCTCAGAGCACAGCAGGGGAAAACCAGATTCTGACTCTCAAATATTGAATGCTGAAAATTCTTCAACAAACTTGGATCTGCAACACACCACAGGCAGCAAGACAGGTAAGTATTAATTGCCTACTTTCATACTGCAAAAGATAAATACAAAAATAACCCCCATATGAATGGACTATACGTTTAAAAAAAACACACACAAAGCAAACACAATCATTCCTGTATAATATTATTCTTCCTCTCCATGCTTAAATACGATAGCAGAAACCTGTGTCTGCGAAAGCATATGTTTGCAGAATTTCTTCCTCGGAAAAGGTATATTTATCCCTAAGCGGGATGCCTCCTGCTCGGAGGCTGATTTTACGGCACATTAGAAAATGTTATCAGATTTATGAAGTCGTTGTCACACGCAGATTCTGGCAGCGGCTCTGCACAGTGGGCTCTTGGAAGATGATTTATATAGTGCCGGTGCCAACCTGTAAGGTGTCTTGTTTAATGGTTAAACAGCATCCCTCCTAGCTGTTCTGGACGGTGCGCTTCTTTCACCGCAATCGCCACGGAACAGTTGGCAAAGTTATGGCGATCGGAGTGCTTTGGTACAGTAAACAGAGACACAAGGACAAGTGAAGAGCATACTCGAGCAAGTGATGTTGTTTCTGTTTGGGGAGTACGGCTTAATTGCTGCTCTTAATGTCCTATTAAGTGACTGAGTACATTCCAGCTGTGAGCCTGTGATAAATCATTTTATGTTCAGCAAGTGGGACTTTCTTCCTAGAATGAAAAGATTCACCCACCATCGACCACCTTTCTTTCCTTTTATTTGAAGTGATTCAAAAATATTTTTTCTGGGTAATGTGCAGGACAAATATAGGTGAAATAGACGTGCAGAGAAATAATGAAAAATTTTTAGTGAATAAAGATTTAACAATACTATAATCTTTTTTATTTCTGTGAAAGTGAGTTCATTTATAAAGTGGACTGTACTGACAGTAATTTTGGAGCTGCTACTGCTGATTTGCTTTTAAAGGTGCATGTTCTGGGGCTGTCATTCTCATTTTGGTGTCTAATGAGCTGCGGCCCTGGAGCAAGCATGCAGACAATTAAGTCAGGGTAAAAAACCATATCAAAACCACCATGTTGGATCCTACATACTTCTAGTGCCCAACCTGCAGCCCAAGGTCCACTTGTGACCCTTTGGTGTTTGAAGTGCAGCCCTTAGGCCCCAGCAGTCATGAGTAGTAGCACAATTTTCCAAAAAGGCTGCTGCCCAACCTGTGGCCTAAAGGACACATGTGGCCCTTTAGTGTTTGAAGTATGACCTTCTGGCCTCAGAAGTCAGTAGTGGAAGCACTGATATGCAAAGGGTACTGGTACCCAAACTATTGCCCTTTGGTGTTTGAAGTGCAGCCCTTAGGCTCAAGCAGTCAGTGGTGGATGCGCTGATTTGTAAGGGGGATGGTGCCCAACCAACTGCCGTTTGGAGCGCGGGCCTTAGGCCCCAGCAATCAGTGATTGACATATTGATTGGTAAAGGGGCTCATGCTCAACCTGCAGCCTATGGGCCACATGGGGCCCTTTGGTCTTCAGGCCCCAGAAGTCTGTAGTGGAAGCGTTGATTTAGAAAGTGGCTGGTGACCAACTTGCAGCACATGAGCCACATGCAGCCCTTAGGTGTTTGAAGTGTGGCCTTTGGGCCCAAGCACTCAGTAGTGGAAGCATTGATTTGGATAGGGGCATTTGATAATCATAATCTCTAGCAGTTTCATGTAAGTCCCTCAGTCTCTGACTCTGACTGACTAAAACCAGACAAGCGTTGGTCACAAGGTGCTTTGGACTGCCATTCAAAATGTTGTGTTACAGTAACACACAGATGTGAAGCCAGTCTAAGAGACAATACTCACAACCACTTTGCTCCTTTCCACTTCTACTGAAGTCTGTTCGCTGTAAAATAAAAATAATGTGCAGTACAACAGTAGAAGGAAAGGTGTCTACATGTCTCAAGCTGATTGTTTGCTGATCTGATCGTTCCATATTCCAGTACTAATACAATCGTATCAGTAAAATATTGCCATTTTGTGACATTTATTTTGATCCTTGTTTTAAAATGTCAAACCAAAAATGATTGGACAGGACTGAAAATGTTCATTTGTTTTCAATGTGGTTGTACCATGTGTAGTATAAATTAACCTTTATTTTAAATTTCATAAAGCATGGGGGAAAAAATTCAGTTTAATGAACAGTTTAATCAATTGTAATTGTAATCATTACGGCAGTCGTAATTTTGATTGAGTCCTATTAAAACAGCACAAACGTGTTTCCACCATTGAAATTTCATATTTGCAAATATTATTCATGATTTTAATTATTTGCAAAAAAAAACAAATAAAATTAAAGACTACCCCAAGACCTATTCAGCATATCTGCTTGTAGGTAGGTAGTGTGGTGGCCGCTGCTGGTCCTGGGAGTGACGCTTTTGCAATGCCAGAATAATACTGTGGGAAGTGAGGTGGCAATCCGATGATCGCTAAGTCACATCCCTGTTGTGTTGCTGTAATAAACAAAGCAGTCACATGACCACTGTTTACTACTGGCACTGGGGGAGCCCAGCATTGGGCTCATGTCTCCCCTGCTATGGACTCCGGGCTCCATCTTGGGAGAGCCTCTGTCTAACGTGACACACTGTACTCTTAAGATCTTGGTACCAATCTTGGATAGACATGAGTTATATATAGCTCCACCTGCATCACAGGGGGGCCTTTGTCTTAAGGCAGGGACAGGTACACGCGTCTGAGGAACATTTAGGCCTTAACCCTCAGTCAGAGTGGATTGGAGCTGGGGGACCCTGGAGTAAGCATGTGGATTTCCTATAGGGATGAACAGTCTATGGGCTCATTAACACAGACATAAATACAGACATATGGGCATGTAGCAAAAAGTATGCCTGTATTTGCAGTGACCGGAAGCCCCAGGTTTTGTGCTTATAGTTATGTATAGTCCTGCTTTCTTGCTCTGCGCTGGTGTTTGCTATTAAATGTCTTGTTGTTTGAAGGCAAATTTGAATACAGTTTTCCTGTTACTGATGATTTTTCTTGGATAAAAGCACTTTAAAGGAAAAGTATATTGCCCTGTTCCCTTGATTCCTTTGCCACAAAGCAAACATCCGCTACATACTGCTGCATGGCCAATGCTGGCCAGTAAAAGTTAAAATCAGGCTTAAGAGTGGGAATGCCAGCTCTGTAGGCTGATGGGCACAGGGAAATGTACTTAGATGGCCATAAAGACAGCCATACCATTGGGTGGGTGTACCCAGTGCAGTGATGTTCAATAGTGGTCCAAAAAAAGCAGACAGGAATTGGGGAGATGACAAGGAATCTAGAGAAATGGACTCTCTGAAGAGCGTTGTTATCCTCATAATTTTTTGCATCTTCATAGCCAGTAGACATTGGTGAATCTCATATCTTTTGGCATCTAAAATAGTGTCTGTACATGTTTAAAATGTGTACTTAACTGTTGAGGTTGCCTTGTACATTTTAGGACCTTATTTTTTTTTTTTTTCTGATGGCTTCTCTCTGGACTTGGAACACACCAAAGTTACCATTCGCTAGCATATTGTGCAGTGCTGTACAATATTATGTCACAAATAAAAAGTGACACTAAAAGTCCTCCCTATGTAAGGGGTGCCAGTGTGGATTATTATGATTAGCACTTGTGTCTCACCTTAAGCCTGTACTGACTGCCCAGAGCCATGTAGCGTTAATCTCAGACAGAAGTAATGTATTGGCCCGCCTCGGGGTATACTGGCAATTTCCGCCCCAGGGTCAGTCACACAGCATGTAAGTGACCCAGAGCAGTGAACCTCAAGCTAGATATTTAGAATAATTATTTACAGCAGAAAAAAATAAATAAGGTGTCCTATACAGAAACCTGGTAGATGAGTCCCATAGGAGCTGAGCAAATGTAATTTTCTAATGCAAAATCTGTCATATGTTGATGCAGCTACATAGTTAGCCAGATGTCCATCAAGTGCAAAAGATTTGTAACCCCCATTCCTGGCATTAGATTCCAGTTTTATTTTCAGAAAGAAAAATTGCTTCCTGATCACAGCTGGAATAATTTTACAATTAAAACATTCACATTCTGCTATTTAACAATAATAAATGGATGCCAATTTAATGCCACTCTGCTAATATCTGAAAAACATTAACAAGAAGCCCCCTGAGAAAGAAGAATGATTATACTCACCTATCCTGCAGCATGATCCTGAAATCTTTTGAAGGGTGGTGCCTATTATTTTTTTTATGATAACGGCAGAGTAGTTTAAGACGTGCTTAGGTGCGCGTTCATGCGACAAGCTTGCGGTGCCATTACTTGTTAGGCAAAATGCTTGTTTTTGCCCACGTGTGGATGTGCATCACAAACGCATGGTCAAAAACATGTGGGGAGCTTGCAGCTGAAAATGCTGCATGAGCTTATTTGACAAGCAGACGCCTATTTAAATAAATGGGATGACGCGTGTCAAAAACATGCACAAACGCATTGCACATGTGTGAACAGGGCCTTAAAAAGACTCTTCCACCAATGCAAAAATTGCAGGTAAAAACACAGAAGCAATCAAGCACTTTAAATGCTTATTTGCCGTGTTTTTCCTTTCCATTAATCATTTTTTATTCACTTGCAATGCGCCATTACAAAAAAAACATCATAGCTTAATAATTTGCTTTCTTTTTATTTAGTGTCTCTCTTTTATCTATCACAGGAATCCAGGATAGTGACCTCCAAGTAAAAACTATGCGGAATCTGGTGAAGCAGCTCCCTGTGACTAACCATGACACCATGAAAGCCCTCTTTGAACATCTTCGAAGGTAAGTTGGAATTGCCTCCATTGCCTGACGTCTTTATTTGTCAGTCTGTGAAAAATTCCAAAAATATGCTTGAGAGGGCACGAAATTCCGATACCAAAGCATATCCTCGTTGTGTATCGATTGCTCCAGCACTGAGTGTATACACAGCAGCATGTTCCAATCAAAGTGTGGCTCAGCTCCATTACCTCACAGGGCCACGCTCTAATTGGACCCTGCTGTGGGCCACTTTGAAGGGAAATGAAAAAATAAACACATGATTCAAGTAATGATTTTTGTCCCACTAAACATCTTGACAAAATGTATTGTAACCGCTTCACTGCTGGAAAAGTTTGGATAAAATAAAGCCCCACCCCATAACGTAAAAAATAAATAGACGCTTGCACATTTTACATAGAAATTATTTTTATTAAAAATTACTTCAAACTTTTATCTCTTTGATTACTTATAAGATTCTTAATACACAACTTTCTATGAGCATCGGATTTGCCGGTGTGCCCTGCAGACAAACATTTACCATCAGAGCTATACAAAGGGGCTTATTTGTCACTACTATGAGACAGCTCCAACAAAAGGAAGACAGGAGAAACTGCTCTATAGCTTAATAAAGGATGCCATCATAAGGTTAAGTTGCTGTAAAGAGATAATCAAAAAATATGTGTCTATATTAGTCCAGGGTTCCTCAAAAGGTTGCTAGGGGTTCCTTGAGCTGTGAATACTGTAAATGCCACCCCATCTTATGGTGCTTGCCTAGTTCCATGGCCAATTGGTAGGGCCAGCAATGTAACCAATGATGTTTTTAACTGTCTGAAAGGGGGCATTCTTCCCACTGATCACCAATGTAGGTTCATTTCTACCACCAACCTCCGTAGAATTGGTTTAAGAAGGGATTCTCCAAGACCTGACAATTATTTTAAAGGTTCCAATTAGGTAAAAAAGCATAAAAAATAGTCTGGTCTATATTTACATCTGTACACTTGTTTAAATTCTATACTGGTCAGCAACAAATACCTCTATGCCCCCACAAAGCCTACACCCCATCCCCCCAAACAGGGGCGTAACTAGAAATCACAGGGTCCCATAGCAAAATTTTGTATGGGGCCCCGTGATTGCTAGTTATGCCACTTGCAGAGCCCCAGCAGAGAGTGACACGGCAGAGCCCACCATAGACTCTCTATAGTGGGCTCTGCAGGGTCTGAGATCTCTTACCTGTCAGCGCCTCTGTGGTCGCCGGGCCCCGACTCCTCTGCTATCAACGGGCCCCGTCTTCTCTTACATCACTGGCCCCACCTGCTCTTAGGTCGCTGGCCAGTGATGTAAGAGGAGGCAGGCCCCGCCTCCTCCATTCCGAACACCTCCCTCATCTGCCGCAGCGGCTGGCTGTCACTGACACAGCTCCGCAGCGGCTATGAGGGGAAATGCACCGTGGCCACTGCTGAGCTGTGTCTGTGACAGCCAGCACCCCACATGCCATAGCGACCCAGGCAGCCCTGGCCGGGCCCCCCTGTGCCCGGGCCCCAAAGCGCACACCTGGGTCACTATGGCGATTTTTACGCCACTGCCCCCAAACCCCTTATAACCATGGTTGGCAACACCGCTCATTCTAATGCAGGCCGCACAGGAAGCAAGGAGCAGTGAGGAATGGCTGAAATGATAAGTATATGAGGATTGAGGGGGCACTTTCCATAGACACAGTCACTTTACCCTGCATTCTACAGATTGAAGTGTTGGTGAAGTGCTGGAGTGTAAAGGATAATTTGCAGGCATTCATTGATGACAGCTCTCCATAAACTGGTGAACCCAGCAGAGTTAGTAGTAATGCAGAAAGACAGTCACAAACTGAGAATTACATCAATGTTTAAAGTGACACTAAACTCAGGAGTTAAATCTTAATGCATTTAATCCCTCCTCATGTATCACTTCCCCCTCCCTTTTAGAATGTAAGCCTTCAGGGGCAGGGCCCTCCTTACCATCTTGTCTTGATTTGTATTGTGATTGTAATGTCTTCCTTATATTGTAAAGCGCTGCGCAAACTGTTGGCGCTATATAAATCCTTTATAATAATAATAATAATAATTTAAGTACCTTAACTATTAACAAAACTGAATTTTATTTTGTGTATCACTCGGCTGTAGATCCTCCAATCATCTCTGGCCTGGTCCTGACACTGTCCTTCCTTCTAGAGGTGGCTACTTTCCCCATGGTCTCATTGTGTGTTGTAAAGTAGCCACCGCTCCAAACTCACTCTCGTGAAGGACTACAATCTTAATACAAATTAGTAAACTAAATGTGAGATTGTAGTCCATCACGGGAGTGCGTTTGGAGCGGTGGCTACTTTACAACACACAATGAGACCATGGGGAAAGTAGCCACCTCTAGAAGGAAGGACAGTGTCAGGACCAGGCCAGAGATGATTGGAGGATCTACAGCCGAGTGATACACAAATAAGATACATTTTGTTAATAGATAATAGATCCATTTGATTTTTGTTTGAGAGTAACAGCCATGGGAGTAGCCTGCGCACTTTGGAGGCTTGCCATCTCTGCTTTACCAGAACTTCAAGTGGCAGAATGAAAACGATGTACAACACTGGACCAGAATCAAATGGTTGAAAATAATCTAATAATGTGTAGGAGGCCTAGGAAAGGGGCCGCCAGTCAAATAACCTGTCATAAGGCCGTGTCACATTAGCAGTCGGACAGTAGAAAGGTATCATGGCACACTCTCAAGCCAGCATGTAAAAAAACTTGTCTCACCACTAAGGTTAATAACAGAGGTTTGGATACACGTCTTCTGCAGAAAATGTGAAAGCCGCACAGCCGCGCCAAGGCACCTCTTATAGTGCGGTCCTAACTCTAAACTATGAGAGTCTCCATCTTGTAGCACATGGGGGCAGAAGATTTTAAATTGGGTGCAGGTTTGTCAGGAGGAAGCCCAACCTCCCTTTGTTTTGCTTGTTTTGCTTGACATTAGCAGTCGGGTCTCATACACTATAGTGCGTGCTCATGGATGAACCAACCATGGGTGCCCAGGCCTACGGGAATACATCTCATTACCAAGTCTCATCCTATGCATAAATGAGCTCGCCACACAACCACTACTTACATTTTTCAATAAACTCTATTCTTTTTTGAGAAATGAAATGCTGGACAGAGGCTTTTCCTCTGACACGTTTTGTCCTAATGTAGGACTTAGTCATAGAAACAACGAGATGATGAAGGGCTTGAACTAATGAATGCCAACAATATTACATGTTATAGCTACATCTTATGTCTTGTGCTTATTCTACAATATGTGCAAGATATAAAAATACATCAATAAACTGAGGCAACAACTGGTTCACCCAAAAGACACAATGCCAAAAAACACTAGATGAACAACATTGTGTATGCAGTCCAGTACAGTGAGGAGTGCTTAGAAACAAAACAGCAGCTACACCAGCGTACGGCACAGCATAGAAGAGCCAAACCCTCTGGTCAGGATTCAGCAGTGTAATCTACATCTAAAGGAAAAGGTCACTCCTTTGAAGACAGTCAAGTACGCATCCTAGACAGGGAGTAGGGCTGGTTTAAAAGGGGTGTGAAAGAGGCAATTTATGTAAAAATGGAGTAGTCAAACTTGAATAGAGGTGGGGGGGGGTGAGACATCTATTGTCTGCCACATACAATGCTGTTTTAACACCTCCAGCTCACTAACACCTCCTAGCTCTAATTATGCAAATGCAATCAACACCTGGTTGCAATTAAATGATTATGTGGATTGGAGCAATATTCATATTTAATCCCAGATAATTTTGTACAAGTCATTCTGAATTGAGAAAGCTGGTTGGATGACCAGTAAAACGTTGTCAAGAAAATACAGCAAGTTCAGTTGCCTTGACTTATTTTTTACAGATATAAGATATAAAAAAGTAACTATAAAATGTATTAGTGTGTTATACAAATGTAATAATAACATGTATTATTGTGTTATACATCTTGTACATATCCTATAGCATATGTACAAGATGTATAACATTTAATTATATCATGTATATTTCTTTTAAATGGTTGGTACTTTGATTTAATATGAGGAGACACTGACCAATCATTGTTGTTTGTTAGTATGCATGTGTTCCAAACATTCTCTATCTCCTTGCCTGTATGACTAAGTTAGGCTGAAACACGTCACTGGAGGAGCTTGTGTCTAATGGGATGTTATTGCCACCCGTTCTTTTACCCAATACTTAACCCAATCCTGAAACCTAACTTGACCCAGTAATGTAGACACATAAAGAGATGTAATATCAGCTGTATGGCATAATGGTGTTTCATGAGGTCTCTCACCATCTGTGGAGGTAAACCACATGTATGCAGATTTTAGGAGGGCCGCTGAATGCCTCTTGTTTTTTCATACACATCACCATACATGTCTTTTTTATATGGGTCTTTAGAGAGAAGGTATTGGGAAATGTCTGTTTTACCTCACATGGAATTAATTTACTTATACTGCTTGAGGTATATGGAACTTGGTGTCCACAAAGATGTGCGGTTACAGGGGAAGCACAATAAAGGTTGCCTAGGGGAACACATCGTTGAAATATAGCCACAAGAAGAAATAATGCATACCCTTACTGTATAATCTGTCCTTTGAGCATGATATTAATCCATGCCTTCTAAGTATTTCTAAAGACACTTCCAGTAAATTCAGTGAATATGCATTGATTACTTCCCATTTCTAATTGTGTTGGATCTTTGACAACTACAATCTGTATCAGGCAATATTTAAAGTATTGATTATGTCGTCGTGAAGTTTATATCCATTACTGTTGTTATTGGATATCTTTCACATGTCATCTTTATTACTAACCCTACTGTACACACAGTTGACTCATAATAACAAGGGTATACATGGATATGCAAACATACAGAAATAAGATAATGTTTTATTATTTCATTTTTGAAATCTTTATAGCACATACAAATGCTGAAGTGCTTTGCAAAGTGCAATGAAACATCCACAAA